TTTTTTTTTTTTTTTTTTTTTTTGAGACTAAGTCTCACTGTGCCACCCAGGCTGGAGTGCAATGGTGCTATCTCAGCTCACTGCAACCTCTGCCTCCCGGGTTCAGGCAATTCTCCTGTCTCAGCCTCCTGAGTAGCTGGGATTACAGGTGTGTGCCACAGTGCCCAGCTAATTTTTTTATTTTTAGTAGAGATGGGGTTTCACCATCTTGGCCAGGCTGCTCTGGGACTCCTGACCTTGTGATCCACCCATCTCGGCCTCCCAAAGAGCTGGGATTATAGGCGTGAGCCTCCACCCGGCCTGAGCTACTCACTTTTATGGCTTTAGCCTGACAGCAGGCTGAAATTAGCACTGTGCAGTGGAACTAAACTTGCTAAAGAAAACTGTTTCTAGGCTGGGTGTGGTAGCTCACACCTGTAATCTCAGCACTTTGGGAGGCTGAGACGAGATAGGTCAGGAGTTCAAGATCAGCCTGGCCAACATGGCAAAACCCTGTCTCCACTAAAAATACAAAAATTAGCCAGGCATGTGGCACGCACCTGTAATTCCAGCTACTCAGGAGGCTGAGGCAGGAAAATCACTTGAACCCGGGAAGCAGAGGTTGCAGTGAGCTGAGACGTACCACTGCACTCTAGCCTGGGTAAAAGAGCAAGACTCTGCCTCAATTAAAAAGAAAATAAAAGAAGAGAAAAAGAAAAGAAAAGAATACTGTTCTGGCATTGGGAAACTCAGGACATATTGGTAAAGCCACAGTTGCTGGCAAGTGAGGGGAGAACTCTCGAAAGGAGAAAGTCAGAGAGAGGAAAACTCGTACAAGACAGTCTCCAGCTGAAGATAAAATAACTGAACTGAGATTTGAGCTTCTGCCCCAGACAAGTTTGTGATATGTGTCCAACCAAGTTAAATGCTTACTAAAACAAAAAAAAAACTTGACACACTTTAGAAGAGTCCAGTGTCTCCACAATACAATATTCACAATATCCAGAATACAAAAAAATTACTGAACACACAAAGAACCAGCAAAATGTAACCCATTCTCATTTTTGGCTTCTAGGGATTGCTTTCGCTTTTTATTGAAACAGGTTAGGGATTTACCATCATTTATTTAAGGATGTATGTTGTATCTCATACACTATTTCCAGGTTAAAATTATACAAAGTGTCCTTTAAAAAGGTTATATTAATATATAGTTAATTCAGCAATTTTTGGGAGTGTTTCTATGACTTAATCATGGTTAAACTTCCATGGGTTAATTAGTATTTCTTTCAACCTTGTAAACTGGACATTTTACTGTACATTTCTTAGCCACACACACTTCTTTTGTGAATTGGCAGTTAATATCTCTTGTCCATTTTTTTTGGGATGGGGTCTCTGTCGCCCAAGACCTCACTACAACCTCTACATCCTAGGTTCAAGTGATCCTTCAACCTCTCAGTCTCCTGAGTAGCTGGGATTACAGGCGTGTGCCACCATACCCAGCTAATTTTTTAATTTTTTACCAAATACACGGGGTTTCGCCATGTTGCCCATGGCTTGTCTTGAACTCCTGGGATCAAGCAATCCACTCACTTTGGCCTCCCAAAAATTCTGGGATTACAGGTGTAAGTCACCACACCCAGCCTTTTTGTCCATTTGCTATAGAACGTTTCTTTCATCTTGATTTATATCAGTTATTTATCAAGTTTTCCCTTGTATGTTGAATTTTTTTTTTCAAATTTGGCTTTTATCTTTGTTTATGGTATGTCTCTCCCAAAACAGAAAGTTCTTACAATTTTTTTATATAATCAAATCTATCATATCTATTATTTAATAGTCTCTGGTTTGGGGATCATAGTTTTCAAGTCACTCTTAATAAAGATCATAAAAACACTTGTCATAGCAACACTTTTAATGTAGCTTCTGAGATATCACCAAATGAAATGTAACTTCTATATATAAGAAGAGTCTTATGTATCTACAAAAACATGTAATATATGCATACAAGGATTATTTATTTGTTGTCTACTACAGATTCCTTGGTGTCACACTGTTTTCAAAATTTCATGTCTTTATTCTCATACCCTGTACAAATCTGGACTCAAGGTCAACCCCTTTCTAAATATATTTTCTTTTTCTCTTTTAAGATGGAGTCTTGCTCTGTCACCTAGGCTGGGACTACAGGTATGTGCCACCACTCCCAGCTAATTTTTGTATTTTAGTAGAGATGGGGTTTTGCTACGTTGGCCAGGCTGGTCTTGAAATCCTGACCTCAAGTGATCCACCTGTCTAGGACTCCCAAAGTGATGGGATTACAGGAGTGAGCCACTACGCCTGGCCATATTTTCTTTAATAACCCCCTTTTCATCATTTTCTTATCCACTGTACTTTTCTTCATAGCATTTACTACTACTTGCAATTATATTATACATTCCTTTACCTGTTTGTAGATGCCCCAACTCAAATATAAGCCCCAGGAGACATGCCTGTATTGTTCACCTATATTCCCAGTGCCTAGAATAGACCTTGACAAAAAACTGGTATTTAATAAGTAAGGGTTAAATAAATGAATGAATGTCTTAATGAGTGAATGAAATCACTGTTCCAAGTCTAGTATAATAGCAGAAACAAGAGTCCATAATCTAACAGCAAACTTACCTCCAACAGTTTCAGATTATCTAGGTCAAGAGAGGGTTCGGATGCTGCTGCCTCCATCATGTTCATACTGTGAAGACCTTGTTTACGGTCTCCTATAGGAACAGGAAAAAGGTTACTAATACATGGTTTCCTTTTTTTTGTTTTGAGACAGAGTCTCGCTCTGTTGCCAGGCATCAGGCTGGAGTGCAGTGGTGCGATCTCGGCTCACTGCAAGCTCCGCCTCCCGGGTTCAAGCAATTCTCCTGCCTCAGCCTCCCAAGTAGCTGGGACTACAGGCGCGCGCTACGACGCCCAGCTAATTTTTGTATTTTTTAGTAGGGATGGGGTTTCACCATGTTAGCCAGGATGGTCTCGAACCTGACCTTGTGATCCGCCCGCCTCGGCCTCCCAAAGTGCTGGGATTACAGGCGTGAGCCACCGCGCCCAGCCTAATACATGGCTTTTTAAAAATGATTATCTTTTTATGCTTTTTACAATATTATAGTTAAAAAGAAGGGCTGCAGAAAGATTGGCAGCAAGATTTACACCTAATCTCAATGAGAATAAAACTATTTACTAAACTTGCTAACATCTATAAATGCAGATGAATGCACAATGGCATGAAGGCCAAATTCTGGGAGACACTTCCATGATGACTTAATTGAAAAGTTTAAAACCTTAAGTAATATTACAAAAACTTTAAAGAAGACTATACAGAAGTTATTCAAATGAGTGAATGAATGAATGCTGATTTCTTAAACAGTCCATCAAACCTAAAGCTTATTAGAACCAACTGAACATTTGATGATACTGAGGAATTACTATTTTTTCAGATGTGAAAATGGTACTATGAATATATATTCTTAAAGCCATTATATTATAGAGATAATATTTATAGATAGATGATATCTAATTAACTACTTACAGATATATGATATCTGTGATTTGCTTCAAAATAATCCAGTGGCATGGAAAGGGGTAGTGACTGATAATTTAGATGAAACAACACTGTCCATATGTGAGAATTATTTAGGCTGGGTGTATTCTGCATAACTTTGAGAGTATTTTTTTTTAACATAGGGAATTTAAAAGGAGAAAATAAATTCTGATTAAATTGCATGTTTAATAAACAATAGGACAGAAAGTGGTGATTTTTACCTGTCAACATTCTGTATCCAAACCATAAGGCAACTATCAAAACAGCTAACACAGAGACTGATGTCAAAGCAATGATTATTGTCTCATCTCGGTTAAATGAATGAGGTGGACCTAAAAGAAAACAAATTTTGAAATGTTATCATTTTTTTAAAAAGTATTTTGTTAAATACTGATAGACTGCCCTTTAGAAAGGCTGTATCAATGTATAATCAAATCAGTAATGTTTTTGGATCAAAGGAAATGAAAGAAAAAATTAGTAATAAATTTGTGATAATTGCAAATTATATAATCATACAGACTATTCCATATAGATCTGGAACACTGAAACACCAAGTAGGTGTGCTCCTAATTATTGAAATATCAGCTATGCCATGGAATAGCATAGACAGGATGGTATAATATTAAGAGTCTTAGAATCTAGTGGTTTTAGAATCACATTTGGTTTTAAATCCTCAATTTCCTCATTTATAAAAATAGTACTCTGTATTTCCCAAGTTAGCTGTGAGGTTTAGATGGCAGTCTAAGTACTTAGTACAATGTCAAGAATATGTTTTCTGACTGGGCACGGTGGCTCATGCCTATAATCCCAACACTTTGGGAGGCTGCTGCAGGAGGATCACTTGAGACCAGGAGGTCAAGACCAGCCTGGACAACATAGCAAAACCCCAGGCATTAAAACAAGCAAACAAGCCAAATTAGTCAGACATGGTAGCATGCACCTGTAGTCCCAGCTACTCAGGGGACTATGGCAGGAGGATTGCTTGTGCCCAGGAGTTTGAGGCTGCAGTGAGCCATGATGGTACCACTGCACTCCAGCTTGGGTAATGTAGTAAGACCATGTCTCTTAGAAAAACTTTAAAGTTTTTAAAAAAGAATATGTTATCTATGCAATAAATGATAGTTATGTTTATCGATATTGATTTTATTATTAATAAAAATACCATGGCTTTACAGGCAGTTAAATCTGAATTGGACTTCAAGCTCAGTTCTTCCACTTAGGAAAGTTTCTTCAACTATCTGGGCCCAAGTTTACACATTTGCAGAATGGAATGGGAACACACATAAGCAAATCACAGGGCTATGATGAACATGTAAACATTTTATGTGTTAAGTTCCATTCTGTGGGTCAGATCATAGCTAGAGTAAATACCCTTTAGGATGGATGGCCACAAACTACAGCATAGCCAAAAGAGAGCAAGTACAACTGTGAAGGTATGAGATCTCTGAACTGTGATGGGTAGAAATAACAAAAAGCATTTGAGGAGGAAAAAAAAAAAAGATAACTTGGGAGGGTATGATAGTTGTCTTCATGCCAAAAAATGGACTTGATTTGGACCAAGAAAAAATAACCAGTTCCAATTAGCGTTATCTTTAAGGATAATAATCTTTAGTTCAGCATACAGAAAAACATGGCTTATAAACAGACCTGTCTAAAATAGAAAGAATTACCCTACGAAAGAGCTGTTCATTGTTTTACTAGATGCAGCCATGCAAGGTTTGGTAATACTGATCAGAGGCTGTGCTTGATGACTGCCAGTATCTTCGTTCATTCTTTATATTCAATCAAAATCAAGCATGTTGTACTCAAATTAGAAGCTTCTGTGGCAAAGTAAGATGCCTCTATGGCAAAGAGTTCCTCTGAAGGACATTCCTGTTCTAATGAATTTATTTATCTCAATCAAATTAAGTAGAAGTTGCTTATTAAAATGTCAAAACTATATTTCTGTAGAAAGATCTGTTGAAACAATACTGAAATACTCTTAATTTGCAGGCCATTTATTAGATTTTCTTTTTTCCTTCCTTCCTTCCTTCCCTCCCTCCCTCCCTTCCTTTTTTTCCTTTCCTTCTGTCCTTCCTTCCTTCCTTTTTCTTTAACAGAGTCTTGCTCTGTCACCCAGGCTGTAGTGCAGTGGCACAATCTTGGCTCACTGCAAATTCCACCTCCTAGGCTCAAGCAATTCTCATGCCTCAGCCTTCTGAGTAGCTGGGATTACAGGAGTGCACCACCACACCTGGCTAATTTTTTGTATTTTTAGTAGAGATGGGATTTCACCATGTTAGCCAGGGTGGTCTTGAACTCCTGGCCTCAAGTTGATCTGCCCACCATGGCCTCTCAAAGTGCTGGGATTACAGGCATGAGCCTTGGTGCCTGGCCCATTTATAAGATATTAACAGATTGTAACATATTGATCACTCTACCTCCTTTTAACATACAAAGTAAGTTACAGGCAGAAAAGCTACATATAAAACTCATTTTACCACAGTGAGATATTATTTCACACACATTAGCATGGCTACAATGTTAAAAAGGAAGAAAATCAAAAGCACTGGCAAGGATGTGGATAAATTAGAACTCTTGTACATTGCTGGTGGGAAATAAAGTGGTAAAACACAGCAGAAAAAGTTTACAAGTTCCTCAAAAAGTTAAACATGGAATCACCAGAAGACCCAGTAATTTCACTCCTAGGCATATATCCAAAAGAACTGAAAACAAGTGTTCAAACGAAAACTTCACACGCAGGTTCACAGCATCACTATTCACAATAGCCAAAAGTGGAAATAACACAAATGTTCATAAACTGATGAATGGATAAACAAAATGTGGTATATTCAATACAAAGGAGTTACAAAAGGTTGAACACTCTATGATCCCACTGAAATAAAATACCCAGAATAGGCCAAATCCATAAAGACAGAAAGCAGGTTAGTAGCTGCCAAGGACTGGGAGAGGAGGAAATAGGGAGAGACTGCTTATTAGATGCTGGATTTCACTTACGGGGTGATGAAAACATTTTTGAGCTAGATAGAGGTAATAGTTGCACAACAATGTGAATGTGTTGAGTGGTACATTTCAATATGACTAATTCTAAGTTATATAAATTTTACTTCAATTAAAAAAAAAAAAAACTAAGGCTGGACATGGTGGCTAATGCCAGTAATCCCAGCACTTTGGGAGGCCAAGGCAGGCGGATTACAAGGTCAGGAGTTCGAGACCAGCCTGGCTAACATGGTGAAACCCTGTTATCTACCAAAAATACAAAAATTAACTGGGCATGGTGGCGTTTGCCTGTAATCCCAGCTACCCAGGGGGTTGAAGCAGGAGAATCACTTGAACCCAGGAGGCGGAAGTTGCAGTGAGCTAAGATTGTGTCATTGCACTACAGCCTGCGCGACAGAGCAAGACTCCATCTACACACACACACACACACACACACACACACACACACACACCAAACACTAGCTCATTTTAGAATTTGCTAAACTTAAAAAACTATTACACATAAACATATGCACACATACACACATATACAAAACTAAATAATTTATAGACTCATGACTATACACAGATATTTTATGTCCTTATAGTTTTTGTTTTCCAGAAAGTCATATAGTTGGAATGATACAGCATATAATCTTTTCAGACTGGCTTCTTTCACTTAGCAATATGTACTTTATGTTCCTCCATGTTTTTTTGTGACTTAGCAGTTCATTTCCTTTTATCACTGAGTATTATCCATGTTATAGATGTATCATAGGTTACCTGTTCACCTACTGAAGGAAATCTTGGTTACTTCCAAGTTTTGGCATTATGAATAATTATTTGTAATTATAAATATCTGTGTAAACTTTTGTGGGATGAAGTTTTCAACTCATTCAGGAACATAATTGCTGGATCAAATGATAAGCCTATGTTTAGTTTGTAAATAACTATCAAACTGTCTTCCAATGTGGCTGTACCATTTTGCATCCCCAGCAGCAATGAATGAGAATTCCTGTGTTCTGCATTCTCACCAGCATTTTACATTGTGTTTTGGATTTTAGTCTTTCAAATAGGTTTGTACTGGTATCTCATTATAGTTTTAAGTTGTAATTTCTAATGACCTATGATGACAAGTATCTTTTCATATAATTATTTGTCATCTGTCTATCTTCTTTGGTGAGGTATCTGTTCAGATCTTTCACCCACTTTTGAACTGGACTGTTTGTTTTCTTATTAGTAAGTTTTAACAGTTCTTTGTATATTTTGGATACAAATCATTTATTAGCTTTGTGTTTTGCAAATAGTTTCTCCTAGTGTGGCCTTTCATTGTCTTGGTAATAAGATAATGCTGGCATCATAAAATGAATTAGGAAGTGTTCCCTATGCTTCCATTTTCTGAATGAGATTATAGAAAAATGTTGTTGGTTTATATATTTATTTAAGATGGAGTCTCACTCTATACCCAGGATGGAGTGCAGTGGCATAATTTCGGCTGACTGCAACCTCTGCCTCCCGAGTTCAAGGGATTCTCCTGCTTCAGCCTCTGGAGTAGCTGGGATTACAGGTGTTCGTCATCACACCTGGCTAATTTTTGTATTTTAGTAAAGACAGGTTTTCACCATGTCGGCCAGGCTGGTCTCCAACTCCTGACCTCGGTGATCCACCCACCTCAGCCTCCCAAAGTGTGCTGGGATTACAGGTGTGAGCCCCACGCCTGGTCATGATGTTTCCTTAAATGTTTGCTAGAATTCAACAGTGAAACAATCTGAGCCTGGTGCTTTCTATTTTGGAAAATTATTAATTTTATTATATAATTACTATATATCATTATTATATATATACATATATATACCTATTCAGATTACATATATGCCTATTGAGATAGTATATTTCTCCTTGTGTGAATTTTAGTAGATGTGTTTTTCAAGGAATTGATCCATTACACTTCAATTCTCAAATCTATGGACACAGAATTATTCATGTTATTACTTTACTATCCTTTTAATGTCCATGGGATTGTAGTCATGACCCCTTTTCCCTTTGTGACATTAATGACTTGTTTCTCTTTTCTTTTTGGTAGCCAAGGCTAGAGATTTATTAATTTTATTGATCTTTTTGGAGAACCAGCTTTGGGGTATGTTGCTTTTTCTCTATAATTTCCTGTTTTTAATTTCATTGATTTTATTTTTTTTCTTCTGCTTACTTTGTCTTTAATTTGCTCCTCTTTTACTAAGGTTGAAGCTTAGTAAAGCCCTGATTTGTTTTGTTAAATAAAAGGATATATATAATTAAATCTAATTTCATCTAGTTAGCACTGAAAAAAACCTGGCCAAAATTTTACCACTAATAT